TGTGTGTGTGTGTGTGTGTGTGTGTGTGTGTGTGTGTGTGTGTGTGTGTGTGTGTGTGTGAATAATATGCATCCCCACCAAAAGCTTAAGATGGCTGAATTGTATTGAAAGTTGCAGGAAACATAGTCTGAGAACTACCATGTACAAATGATTACCATTTGGAGACAGCAGATTCAACAAAGCTACCACAGCAAACTGATCTTGGGGGAAAATAATAAAATGGTATAATTCAGTCATTTTTAGAGATACTGACCTAAAATTTGGGGATATTTGCTGCACTTGATGCCCTACACATAGTCTGAAGGATAACAGATTATGTAATTTATTTTAAGTTATTTTACCAGAAACTATTTGCAGTCAACTGTGTACTGTATATTTGTCTGGTAGAAAAAAGATATTGTGAATTACTTAAAGTACTTTTATTAAACCTTAAGGAACTAGTCAACAGATATACATCAACAGTTAATTAACATTGGGAGCCAGCCCAACTCAAGATGGCTGCAATGACCAACTTAAAAGCACATAAAAATGCTTATAACTTGGTCAATTTAACGGACATGGTAAATTATGAGGTACTTGTGGCTGTATAAAATGTTTGTTTAAACCTTCAGCCTGTCATGTTGGAACCAACCTTTTTTGTCTGTTAGCAAAATATCAAATGTTTGGCCAAAACAGCAACAACTCTGGCATTCTTCAAAACAATATAGTTTATTTTTGCAGCTTTTCATATTATGTTTATTGAGCGCATTCTCATGCCCCCCGCGTCAAGGTATTGATGCTTGACCAAGCGTAATTATGTTGAGACGCGGGGGGTACCCCACGCATCCGTTCTGTACGAGATGGGGCGGAGGAGGACAATGTGTTTTGAAAAGGCTAGAATTGTGCGAAACCAACCGTCGTAGACCCGAAATTTAACTTCTACTAGCCTTATAGAGCCTAACCCTGATCAAAGGCTCTAAAGTTAACCATTAACCCTGATCGTTCATGTTAACCACATCTCTCATGCTAACCACAGACCCTAAAGTTAACCATTAATGGTGATCCCTCATGTCAACCACAGACCCTAAAGTTAACCTTTAATCCTGATTCCTAATGTCAACCTCATACGTCACGCAAACCCGGAAATGCCACGGGCGGCAAGGACAGACGCGCGGGGGGTACACCACGTGTCAACATATTGATGCTTGGGCACTCTAAGCCCAAGCGTCTATATGTAACGAGTCCAACATGAGAATGTGTTAGTTTATTTCACATCATTGAGGTCTTTTTTTTCACATTTTTTGATTTAATTCCCTGCAGTGAAGCTGCTCATTTGCTGCTTGCTAATGTCTCAAGTTTTAATCAAGCAAACAAACAAAAAAAAAAAGAAGAAGAAAGGATAAAAAATGCCATGCAGTAGGTGTCGAGTGCATTAATTCCCCCTCCTCCTCTGCTGTTTTCATCTAATTAAGGGTCATTCTGTCTCTTGGACACATTAGGCCACTGCACGCCCATCCCAACCCACATAATTAAATGTTTCTTTGCGCTTGCCATCTGTAGACCCCATCTCTTTAAAAATGCCTGTCAAATTGATTTGCTAATAATGTTTGTTTTTTATGTGCTTTATTCACCAAGGATTAGCTGTTTATGTTCACTTTTCTTTCATCAATAATACCCATTACACACAAAATACACACACTGAACAACAGACCCCTCACGGTAGCAATAGGACGTGCACAAAACAGCCTGTGAAGCTAACAATAATGAACTTCAAAGCAGTAGAGCAATTTCATGTATAAATAATCACATGTTTAGCAGTTATAGCCTCACTAAACTGGCATTGTGAATATGTTGCCAACATCTCTGTTCTTGCTTTTACTCAGGACAAGATGAGTCTCAATGCAAAGTTATGTTATTTTGGTATTGGATGATTTCAAGATTCATTTTTGAATCAGAAACACCAGAATAAACATGTTTAGTCAGTTAACAACATATCTCTGACAGACTTTGCAAAACAATGCTCCATTCAAATCCCAGGTTGATTCAATGAGCAGACATCTGAAGTGAAAAGTGCTGTTTGCTGTTCTTTTTTCCCCTAGCATTTGTCCAAACATATCGTCGTCTTCTCTTTCTTTTCCCTGTCAAACGATAGCTGAAATACAGACATATGTGTAGTCAGAGAGGCGCTCGCCATTCGTCTCATTCTTTTTCTCTGAGTGCAGCTGAGGATTAGTCTGTGCCTGAGTGCCTAGAATGATGATCACTGCAGCGAAGAGAACCACATTTTCACATTTTAGGAGATAAGGGTAGGCAATCTGCAAGCAGAGGACTTACCCAGCTCCCTGTGGCTTATTGTGGAACTAACAGAAAAAGTCATCACCAACAGCCAATAACTGGTTTCCACTGTACCCTGCACAAGCAGGAAGAACACTCTGTACAATCTTTCCCACACGGAGGGGCATCCGTCATTTCAAAACGACACAGAATTGCATTCATAATATTATCAGCTTGGTCCCAATTCTGCCACTGCCCACTTTCTAACTGTGGAGGTAAACTCTCACCAAGAAATCAATTCTGAGTTTCTGTACCGCAGTATTCAAAATATCATCTTCATCATCTATCATCAATCTTGTCTGCCATCTGCTGGACACTTTTTGTTGTGCTCATATTTAGRCGTCCTATTTTGCAAATGCTGCCTTCCAGAAATTTGGTATGCTTGTTTGTTTTTGTGTCTATCGTGTATAATGATGTGATTGTGATGCTGTATTTCTGTGTGTTTTATGTGCTGCAGAACAGGAACCTGCTGTAAAACAGCAATTACGCTGAGTCAGGCTTGATTTTTAGTAATATTTTCCTGTTAAATCAATAAATCAAAATCAATCAAATCAAATCATATTTTATTTGAAAGTTAGCTTGAGGTAGAGGCCTGTTCTCACTGTCAGACATGATCCAATCTTGCTGGCTTCCCAAAATGGCAGACACCATGGGAGGTGTTCATTAATTACTGAAAAGAAAACATTTTTTGGACATTATCAGAGAGGAACGGACAGGTAGATATAAGTAATGTGGGGAAAAAAAAACACACACCTTGACAAATGAGACAAGGATTCTGCATCAGAAGATAAACACAACAGCTTGTACAATGCTGACTTGGTAATCTACCACAGTGGAACAACTTGTTCCATTTGTAACCCATTTCTCAATAAACAAGACGTGCAAGAAAAATGCCAAGTAAGCTGTTCAAAGCAGGTTTCCTAAGGTGAAAATAATTATTTTTCTTTATTTTTACACTTCAAGTCAATTCAATAAAAGTCTTACCTTTCCCACATACTGAGCTTCTGGTCCCATGTGTTCTTCTAAAACAAAGAACTGGTTCCAGATCCACCCCCGCTTGGGCCTGTGGTGCACCTCTGTCTCCCCATTGGCCAGTTTGGTCTGGTTCTTAGAGGGCACTTTGGTGGGGACATGGTGGCTTGCCCCAGAACATCTCTGAATGAAGCAGAGGCAAACCAAAAAGGGACAGAGACATGTGGTGGTGGATATCCTCATGGTGGCGTGCAGTTTTGTAAATATATCCCTGTATTCCAAGGCAATAAGGTCCTCCCACCACCGCCACAGCAGCCGGCCCCAATAGCCACTGCTGCACTGTCCAGCGGTCCCAGCAAAAAAGATAATTTAACTCCAACCTATCAAAATGTTGATCCTGGTAGATCCTCTAAAATTCATGGCTGAAAGTTGAAGGTTTTAAAAAAACGGAAAGAAGAAAAAACAAGTTACATTTACATCATGGACTTTTCCAGATGTAGGGGGCTGGTTCAAATGGATGTGGACTTCAGGGTAGCTCTACCAAGAGCAGAGGTTAATCCTAGATGCCATGCATGTCCTAGAAATAAGAGCAGAGGAAAGAGAAGTCATGTGTTAGAGATTTTTTTGATGGAAATTAAAGTCTAAGTGTCCACTAATTCCTTCCAATTAGAATTGAAACTTATAAATCCAGAGAGAAGACAAATCACACTTCAAACTAGCTGACAAAGATAAAGCACAGAACAGGCACAAAATTCCCCTGCTTTTTTCCATCCATTTGTGCCATTATGCAGATGATGCAAATATCTTCGGACTTAAAGAGTTGCATCGCTGTTAAAAGGTTGTCTAAGCTTAGAATGTCAGAGCGCTGCTTGGTGACTGATACTGCCCCGTGAGATCAGAGCCATGAATCACAGTCATGAAGCGTTGGCATTGTGCCTCTAAGGAGGACTTGACTTTATTAAAAATAACCAAAGAACGTTCAATTTGAATGTTTTAACACAACCAAGGCAAATGACAAGGATTAGAGTGCACCTCGTTTGCAATGAATAAGAGGTGCAGTAAACTTCCTGTATTAAGAGTAGGCATTAAGCTATTCAGATTATTTTTATTTGATTGTTTAATTTTAGTAAAATATGTATTTCTATCATTTTCCCACCTTCTATAGTGAAAACAAATGGCAGGAACTGTTTTGCGTCACTCTATGTCAGCACTTGCGGGGCGCCTGTGGCACAGTGAGGGGAGTTGTCCTGGAATCAGTAGGTTGTCAGTTTGAGCCCCCTTTCCAGCTGTCTTAGTTGTTGTGTCCTTGGGCAAAACACTTCACCCCCAATGCCTTGCATGTGTATCCCATCAGTGTATGAATGTGACTAGAACTGATTAGTCTCCATAGATGATCTGTATGTTAGATTTGTAGGAGATCTAGTAGAGTGCTGTGTGAATGGGTAAATGAGGGTACAGATTGTTGTGTGAAGTGCTTTGAGTGTCCTGGTTGGATAGAAAGTTACTATACAAGTACAATCCATTCACCATCTTACATTATTTTTGAAAAAAAAAATGCATTCCTGGTCTGTGTAGTATATGCGGTAGATGGTAGAAATGGTATGAAGTTGGCCTGTGGTAGAAATTTACCCTCTACCGTCCTATCGTCATTACATCATCGCACCTGTGGCAGCATGGCTGCGAGTGCAGAGACAACTGAGCAGGAGTTCGAAATATAATGAAGAAATTTTAGCATTCTAAAACAAGTATAGAGAGAATAAATTTTCAAAATTCCCTCCTCGCGCTGTAGAAAAGTTATGCCGTGTTGCAGGATCATAATCTCTCCCTCGCTCCTCCCTCCATCCCGCTGCACGTCGCACAGAGCGAAGCTTTAACCGTAGTTTTTCACACCCAATTGTCGGAGAAAAAACTTGTTTTTTTATATATTGTTACCTACGGAGATGATAAAAACAATACATGGACATTCGTTCGTCATAGATCTAACTTGCTAATGTTGTCGGCTTCTGCTCTGACGATGAAGATGATGAAGATGCGGGCGCGGCAGAGCAGCTGCTAAGTTCAGCAGGCAGATGGTATTATATGGCATTATATGGTAGGCAGATATTAAAGCAAAAATGCTATGTTTAATCATGATTAGTTTTCTGCAAAAAATTCTCTAAAATTTACATTATCTTTACTTTTATATGATAATTTTCTACTGCGATATATATACTGTTACAGAGACAGGGATTCATTTTATACCATGATATGAATTTGAGGTCGTACCGTCCAGCCCTAATTCCTGGTACACCATTTGTCTGGACTTGGAGATAATTTTAAAGCTAGATGTGTTATATATTTTATGTCTCGCTGAAGCATGAAATCTGTCCTGTTTTGAAAAAAAATTAAAAATAAAAATAATTCTATTTAACCTTGATTTTATGAGGCATCCTTCAGTTTGATCTCCTGACAGAAAATGTGAAGTCTTATATACAGCATATGGATTAATTTCATCTTTTACATGCATAACTCCATCTCTTTTTTATTTTTTGTCACTTCAGTAGAAAAAAAAACTAAATATCAGTTTCTTTATTTGTTCATAATCAGTGACTGCATAACTACATCTCTCTAAGTTCTCTTCCACCTGTCCCCTGTTCTCACTAGATGTGAAAAAAGTTTATAACTGTATATATATA